CCCACTCTCCTCTGAGGCTGCTCTCATCCTGATCTCACTAGAATGGAAGACCTGTGAGGACAGGGGTCTTGTCAATCCTGCTGCATGCTGCATTCCCCATGTCCAGAATGGTACCTGGAAAGTGGCAATGTTCGATAGTTATGGGATGAATGAATGCATGCATGCTTAGGTAATTGCCCAGGTGAGCAGCAAGGAAGGAAGGAAAATAAAGAACAAAGCAAGTTAAAGTTCTTGTAGGCCAGTGTCCAGAGCAAGGGAAACATTCCTAGGCCAGTGGAGGCGTGTCCACAGCTGTACAGGGAAGTGGGCCTGAGTACCAGCTTGGCATCTGTAGGGGTCAGTGCCCTGTGCTCACTGGCCCTGGGCTACATGGATGGCCCATAGTAGGAGCAGGGTGAATGGAGTGGGCAGGTACAGCCTGGGCTCTCCAGCTCAATGGCACCCCCCCCCCACTGCCCTGGAAGGGAGATGGGGGTCCTCCAGGGTGCCTGGAAATCTAACCTGGTTTAAGGCCAGTGGGTGCCTTCTAGAGTAGTACAGGATGCTGCTGAGGGCTTTGTCACCTACAGCCCCACCAAGCCACAGAAGTAGCTCTGTGTCCCCAGCCCAGGATCATCCACAGCTGCTGGGTGGGTCTCTCCGCACAGTTCTTTGGTGTCCTCTAGTGGCGCTTTGGTGCACGACAATGACTCCAAGTAAGTGCTCAGGTGGTGGCCAAGCTGCACATCTCTCCCTCCTGTGACTGCTCAGACCACTCTGAACTTGTCTCAGGTCAGGCACATAAGACAAGAAGAGGTGTGGCTCTTCCAGTTTGCTTTGAGATTCAATGCAAGGGTCTTTTTTATCCAGATTCCCCATCTCCCAGCCTGAACCTGAACTTCATCACTCCTAAAACCACCCCCACCCCCTGCCATTCTGATGCGTGATCAGTGTGCACAGACCTGTGTGAGGGGGATGTTCACTACCAGGAGACTGTTGTGCTTATTTCTGGATCAGCGCCTGTGGACTGGGAAGATGTGTGAAACCTCTCTGCCCACTGACTTCTCTGAAATCTCAGCAGGCCCATGGTTTTCCAATGCCCTTCTAGCTTATAGAGATGGGTGAGGGACTAAAAGACCAGATGTAAGAATTAGCATTTCAGGATTCAAAGAGATCAGAGCAGACCAAGATGGGGACTGGGGTGGGGAGGGGTTTACTAACAAGGGAAAGGTGACTATGCTGGAATGTCAGCTGCAGAAGAGGGAAGACCAAGCTAACAACAGTTGGATGAAAATTATCTGACGGGGTCTTAGTCAACCCTGAGGAACATCTGAATCACCAGTGGAAGGTCGTTACTTAAAAATGCAAGGAGATCTGGGAAAGGGTGCAGGCGGACTTTCACCAGGTGGCTGAGCTCGACCCTAGGCCTCTAGATCAACAGTAAACTCAAGCAGGCAAAAGGACCAGGTCGACATGTGGGAGGAGGTGGTGTGTGCCTTCAGTGTGGGTCTCCCCCTTCTAAAGGATGGTGTGCAGACTCAAGGAGAGAGAGAGGTTGAGGTTATTCTGGGGAGCCCAAGAGGAAAGACCAGTGGGTGGAGGTGCAGGAGGAGGTGGTTCTGGTTCAGTAAAAAAACTGCAACCATCTCACCAATAGTGGGAAGAGAGGTCTGTCACAGGGGCATGTAAGCCAGACAACCATCGTCAGCTTCCTGTGAATAGTTATCATTACATTGAACAAGATGTTTGACAGAATCAGTCCTCTACACATAGAATCTAAGAGTCCATCATAAATTAGTGCCTTTCATTGCAGAACAGACACGGTCACCTTTAATGGGTTTGCTATTCATGCATGGCCGCGATGGGCCTGTGCTACTGCATTCCAATGTCTGCTTGGTTGTCAGATATTAGAGAAACTCAAGTTCTGCCACAAAGTCACTGTTGACCTTGGGACCACATTCCTTCTCAGTCTCCTTAGTTAAACAATGAAAGGACTTAAAGAAACTCCCATCACCTTAGAATCCAGGCAGCAATGGAGGGGAAATCTCTGGCCTTGGCCACTCTGACTGTGGTTTCTGATAGCCACCTTCCCCTGGGTGTCTCTCACTGGTACCCACTGCCACCACGACAGAGGCTTCATGGCCCTCCCCTCCCCTCTGGCACTCCAGCCCGCATGTGCACTCAGTGACCATGGAACCACAGAAGCCAAGCTAAGGCTTCCTGTGGCTTAGGACAACAAAAGGAAATCAGGCCTCAGAGAGCATGTAGCTGGATGATCTGGTTACAAGATGGCCTGTGCCCAGGGATACCACCACTCCTGCTTCCATGTGGGAACACCGTCTTTCCCCAACTCACAGGTGCCCAGGCCATTGCTGCCTCAAAGCTCAGGCCTAGAGAACAGAGCCAAGAGAAATAGGGGTTCCATCTTCCACCTGCCTCAGGCCCACCTTCTACATCACCAAAGTGCCCCTTCCTCCTAGTGATTGACCCTGGGAATGCCTAACCCTTCCCCTCCGGCATATGACTTCACCCTGGGCCTCAATAGGACAACATCCTGAACATACTTCTTTGATGAGATACCGTTATTGGTATCTGTTCTAAAGACAAACAGATATGTAAAGAAATCTTCAACTTTACTTAATAAATTTCTTGGCAGTGTATGGATGTAGCAATTCTGAAACTGTTTTGTGTTTATTTGTAGGATTAAGCAAATGAGAATATTTTGATGTTATTGAAAACCAGTGTTTTCACTGTAGAAGAAGAAAGATGCAAATATGGAAATAGAGGGAGGCAAGCAAGAAACCTGTGTTGTTAGAACTTATATATACAGGGTGTCCCCCAAAAATGTATACAATTATTAAATGTGTGTGTATACATTTTGGGACACCATATATACCTATAGATAGATGATAGAAAGATATAGATAAAATTATGATGGATGGTTCATAAATACATACATACATACATATATTCACACATAGACCTAAAATTAATGATACCCCAGAAACCATGAACACATCTAATGCCCAGATATTGATTTCTAAATACCAATCTCTGCTAAAAAGAAGCCGAACTCCTTGGGAAAATGGCTGATTCTAAGACTGAGGGGGGAAAAAGTGTGAGGAGACCTTGGAACATCTTGTGCCAAGAAGTAGAAAAGTGCTCAAAAAAATTATGGGGACATGTTGAAGAACACAGAAGGCAGCCAGCAGCGAAGGGGTTTCCATTAGCCAAATCTGGAAAAATTTGAGCATCAAAATTAAAAAGACATATTACTGGATAAGACACTGAATTAAAAAGAAACCTACAAGTCTATACTGATACACATTTTTAAAAGTGAGCCGTAAGGAAAGATGTTGTGTACAGTACAATGCCAAGTATTTCAGTGGAATCATAGTGTTAGAAAATCACCATTTTGCAACCACCAAAATAATGTGACTCAGGTAAGAATCATCAATGGATGCTGAAACCACTGAGTTAATGTTTGTGGGGGAACAGGATACTCACACAGGCACAAAATATCTCCCACAGATTATTTATTAATTATGAGAGGGAAATGGTACCTTTGAAGCAGAGAGTCTGGCAGACATCACCTCAACCAAATGATCACAGTTAACGTCACCAGTAATAGGACAAGATGCCATCAAGTGCCCCTGAAGTGAAGCACCGAGAAGGCCAAAACATCACTTACATAGGATTCCTGCCAAGAATGCCCAACCTAAATCTAATCATGAAAACACATTCAGACAAACCCAAATTGAGGGACTTTCTACAAAATAACTAAGCTGGAAACTTCAGAAATATCAGTGACATGAAAAACCAAAGTAGGCTCAGGAACTGTTGGAGATTAAAGGTACGACAAGCAAATGCAATACAAGGTCCCAGATTGGACCCTGCTTTGGAAAAACCACAATTGCCTTAAAGGACATTATTAGGCCAACTGGTGAAATTTGAAAGTGGATGGTATATTAGATAATATACTGTATCAATGTTAAATTTCCTGAATTTGGTTAAGTGTGTGTGGTTATGTAAGAGAATCTCCTTGTTCTAAGGAAACACATGCTAGATATTTAGGGGTGAGGGGTCAGGATATCTGCAACTTACTCTCAATGATTCAGGAAAAGTACAGGGTGGGGCAAAAGTAGGTTTACAGTTGTGAGTATGTAAAGCACAGAGTTCATTCTTGTGCTATTATTTGTTAATTCTTGTATTCATTTCCATATGAACAACCATAAACCTACTTTTGCCCCACCCTGTATATGAACAGTATATATTTTTTCTTTCCCTGAGTGTCTTTTTCTCCTTTTGCTACCTCCTTCCTGATTCTCTCCCAGAGGTTTCCAGTTCTAATTACTGAGGTTGGGTAGGATCCTCTCTACCACCCCTCTTGGACAGAGCACTCTGCTCTAGGAAACCTCATAGGTCTCTGACCAGCCTCTGGATTGGCTACCTAGGGTCAGGTGCCCACCCCTTGTCCAATCAGCTCTGGCCCCAGATGGGTAATGCAGCCACCAGAGCTCCTTTAATGGGGTGGTGGGCAAGAGGGTCTCTTTAGAAGGGCTTGGCAGTAGATCTGATTGGCCCAGCCAGTAGATCTGTATCTGCAGCTCCCCAAGTTCATTCCAGAGATACCTAAAGGACTCCTGACCTAATTTTGTGCCTCAATTTCCCCCTCTTTCAACAAATGTTATAGATGCTGGCTCTGGACCAAGTCTTGTATTAGGTTCTAGGGGCACACAAGTGACTCAGTCCCTACCCTCAGGAGCTCTGACTCAAATTGGAAGGGCATAAAAAACATATATAACTTTAGTACAGGCTGAATCACAGCCAACAAACAGAAGGCAGTCAAACTCGCTGAGGCCCACCCCCATAGGAACACAGGTGGAAAAGAGGCGGATCCAAAAATCCTGATGGTGGCACTAGCTGTGGCTTATGGGAGGGAAAAGCGCAGTCAGGTAGGGACCCCGTTGTTGGAAGGGTGCCCAGTGCCATCCCTGGGTTTCTGTTTTTTCTTTGCACAGCCGGACCCCGCAGGACGAGACATCTCCATCCGCCCTCTCCTGGAGCACTGTGAGAACACCCACATGACCATCTGGCTTGGCATCGTCTATGCCTACAAGGGGCTTCTCATGGTAGGTGCAGAGCAGGAGGCGGAGTGCAGGGAAATGCTTCCCTGTCACACTCTGTCTCCTAAGGGCCTCCAGCAACATAAAAATAAGAACCCCCAGGACTAAGCACTTGCTTTATGCCAGGCCCAGTACCTGCCACAAGGTATGGCAATTTCCGTAACAACCCTGTGAGTTGGTATAAATAATGTCTTCATTAGTACTTCACTGAGGAATACCTGAGGCTGTTTGCCCAAAGTCACTCAGCTAGTAAGTGGCAGAGTCAAACAAAACTTGGGAGCATGGCTCTGGGCAGCTGCCTCTGTCCCACTCCTGGAGGGCAGTGTGTTAACATCTAGCGCATGTTCACATCCGAATTTCACTGGATCCTCTAAATCCAGGGGAGGTTGCTGGACTCCTCCAATTCTGTAGATGATGAAAGTGAGGATCAGAGAGGTTAAGTGATTTGCCACAGGCCATCTGGTAACTTTCAGTCCCAGAACTTAGCACTCTTTCCACTCTACTCATCTGTTAATATCAAAGATCAGGCACCAAGCCCCGCTCACACAATTGTGGAATGTCGAGGTGAGGAAGGCCTTGAAAGGTGAGCCCCACCTTATCTTATCCCAGATTGAGCCTTGAATCTTCTCTCCACATGCTGTGAAAACTGTGCCTCCACTTAAAACCCCTGCAGTGACAGGAAGCTGCTGCTACACCCTCCTCAGATCTTCCACAGGAAAGTTAAGCCACCATCTGCTACTGTGTGGCCTCCACTTAGAAGTGGAAAGTGAAGCCCCCTCGAAAAGTCCTAAAATAAACGGATTCCTTACGCTGCTCAAATGCTTCCACGCCTGCTGCTGCTTCCGAAACTGTTAGTGGTCAATCCTGGGTCCTTCAAGGGGCCACACGAGAAGAGCAGGTGTTAGGGGACCCTCGGCAAAGATTTCCCTCACTTCACACTAGTTGAGACCCTCTTGTGTTTCCATAGAGGTCCTTTGCGAACTACTGGGCTGCCATCTGCGTCCCATGAGGTAATGACCTGGAAGTGCCCACAGGAGGTTCCCAGAATGTAAATGAGTCATTAAAAGACCAGCCTAAGGCCCTAGGCTTAGGAAGGGACACACTCTGGGATCCTGGGCACCAGGGCTGTCAGAGAGGTGGCACGGACACAAGGACAGCATCATCACCAGTGGGCGAAGCAGCCCCCTGGCCCACATAAGGAAGGATTTCATATGACAGAGCAGTGTTCACAGATGTGATGGCGCCCCTGGGAAGGAAGGAGCCCTGTTACAGGAAATGTGCAACATCCATGACTTGAGTTGCCCCAGCCTTTGTTGAGTAAAGAGTGAAACTAGACTCTTCCCAGGGTCCCTTCAGCCTCCATGTTCTTGACCCTGACTCTGTAAAATTAGATTATGTGAATCAGATCAACTCCAACCTGGATTTATCTATACTGTTTGGCCATTCATTATCTTCCCCACCTACTTCCAAAAGTGGTTGGAGATGACTGTATCTCTTCCAGTAAAGCTAATACCAATCAGATCTTGTCAATAAAACTGTAGTTGACAGCACGAATCCTTTAGTGTCCAGTGTATGCAAAGAAGTGTGCACAGCCCTCCTGGCCCTTAGGGTTTATCACTAAAAGCCCCTCTCCTAGTCCCTCCTGCACTTGAACCTCAGAATCTCACGGCTGAAAAGAGCATGCACAGCCCTGTAGTCCCGCTCTGCTGTCAGATGTTTCACCATCCTCACTCTGCACAACCCACCATGAGCATTCCAAAGAGTGTTCTTTCACTCACTGCTTCCACACCTCCCGTGATGGGGAGCTTACCCCTTCAAAGCAGCCTGTACCATCCATGGATGGCGTCTTAGTTTCCCGTGGCTTCCATAACACATTACCACAAACTGGTGACTTAAAACATCTCACAGTTCTGGAGGTCAGAAGTCTGAAATCAAAGCAGGTGAGACCCCCTGTCAGAGAGCAGGAGACCTAGCACCCATCTAGCCCTGACACTCACTACTGTGGGACCTGGGCCTTGCTCAGCCTCTTCTTCCCCTGTGAGATGTGGCAGCCATGCCCAGTGCCCTTGTGGGATGGCAGGGGGCCGACTTTGAGGGAACCAGCACAAAGCAGACTTTCACAGCTGTGGGTTCTTTCCCTCATTCCGTGTCTGCTTCCTGGGCTTCTGGTTCTCCATTTTAAAAGGAATTTTTTAAAAATAAATCAGTCTGTGAGATAACACACTAAGAAAAGGAGAGGAGAACAACCATGACTGTATAACATAATACCAATTACAAAATGCCATTTACATTCTATATAGGACATTTCCATTTATAATATGCTTTCACATCCACCCTCTCACTGCATCTGGAAGGAAACCCTGTAAGAGAGGTATTTTTATTCCCATTCCACAGATATTGAAACTGAGGTCCTGAGAGGTGAAGTGACATGCCCAGAGTCACACAGCCAGTGGACAGCAGAGCAGATTCCAGATCCTCCGGCCTTGTGCCAGCCACCCTTCTGCCACACAGCACTGCGGTGCCAAAGTAAACCAAACCTCAAACCATAGTCCCTCACTGTGCTGCTCAGTGGCTCAGGCAGATGGCCCAGGCCCCAGCTGCAGTGAGGAGATCTCAGCGAAGAGGCCCTTTGTGGGGAGGCCTCCTGGAGATGCTGCACTGCAGCAGAAGCCCCGGCTCAGTCCGCGGTCTCGGTCGGCTCTCCCTCCCACCCACACACTTTTCTGCCCTGCATTTTATCTGTACTTCCTTCTGCAGCCTGCCCTGCCCTTAGACCACCTGTGAAGATAAACTCTCAACACCGCTTCAGATTACATTGGAGTTCTACCTGCTCAATTCTGTTGGGAGATACTGGTTAAGAGTAGAGCTGCAAGGGACCGAAAACCAGAATAATAGTGGTTAAAGGGACAGTTAATCTCCCTCTCAAGTAAGCAGTCTCAGAGAGGTGTGGGGGCTCCCACACCTGAGCTCCTTGCATCTGTGGGCCCCCATCTTCATCATGCTGCTTCCACGTTGTAGTCTAAAATGACTTAGTGGTCTGAACTCCACCTGTTCTACTCCATCTATTAGGAAGGAGGAAAAGAACATCTTTCTCTTTAAAGACACTTTCCAGAACTTGTACGTACTTGTGCACACTACATGGCATTATCCAAAACCTAGTCATGTATAGGCTAGGAAACACGGTGTCTATTCTGGGTAGCTATGTGCATTGTAGGGTAACAGAAGTCCCAGACACAGGGGCTCCTGCTGGTATAATGGGAAAAAGACTGGACTAAACTTCTAGAGACACGGTCCACTTTGGCCAGCGTGTTGCTCTGTGGCCTGGGATAAGTCCCTTCCTCTCTCTGGGCCTCAGTGTTCTCTGTAGAATGAGGGGAGATGGTGAAGATCATGTCTGAAGGTCCTTCCCACTATGGCTCCTGTGTGTCTGTGCATGAACCCGGGGTGGGGGCGAAGGAGAACCAGACAGCTGTAACACTCCCGATCGGCACCCCCAGACTCACCCAGGGCCATGAGTAGAGACAGGTGGTGACCTCCAGAAGACCTGGCTGATAGCTAAGCCCCAGCCTCCCTCCCCGCAACCCCCACTTCCCAAGTAGCCCTCTGTTCAGTTGCTTCTCAGAACAGAGAGCGTGTGCCACCACTTGGTAATGACCATCTTTCCTTTCTGTCCACCATTTCAGTTGTTCGGCTGTTTCTTAGCTTGGGAGACCCGCAATGTCAGCATCCCCGCGCTCAACGACAGCAAGTACATCGGGATGAGCGTCTACAATGTGGGCATCATGTGCATCATCGGGGCCGCCGTCTCCTTCCTGACCCGGGACCAGCCCAACGTGCAGTTCTGCATCGTGGCCCTGGTCATCATCTTCTGCAGCACCATCACCCTCTGCCTGGTGTTTGTGCCCAAGGTACGGGCAGTGCCCACAGCCCACCCTCCCCACCCTGGCCTCTGGCCTCTGGCCTCCAGCTCTGTCACAGGGGATCGCTGAGTTTCCTCCACTTCCTAACTTGTACACATTCTTTTTATGATGAACACAATTCACAACGCAGAAAGTTTGGAAAACGCAGAAGAGTAAAAGCCAGATTTTCAGAAACCAAACAGTCCTACCACCCAGAAAAAAAACGTTTTATTTTGTTTTTTTACTGTTAATATTTTATGTGTTTCTTCCAGTGTTTTTAATAGCTAGGCAGTGGTGCTTTTTCAGATATAGCTATAATTCTAGCACATATATTGCTTTGCAGTTTGCCTTTTTCACTTAATTTTTTGTGTTTTGTATTTCCCCACGTTTATAACCTCACTGAGGGAAAGTCCCACGTTTACTTGTCACTAGGTCTCTTATTGGTGCTCATTACAGTTGTTTCCGACTTTATTTATTATAAACGACTTTTCCACATAACACATGCTCCTTATTTCCCATTATTCCCTTAAGATAGAGTGGCAGAAGTAGTATTCATGGGTCACAAAGAATAACCATTTCTAACAGCCACTTACATGTTTCATTCATCTGAAAAGCTGACCTGCAGGACCACCCTGAGAGGTGCTTTTCAAACATTATCCTGCCCAGCAGCAGGTGGGTGAGCCAAAGGCCTTGCCTCCTAGGAGCCCCTGCAGTAGCAGATCTGCACAGAGGGAAGCCTGACTTCCGTGGGTCTCGAGAAACAGAGTGGGGAAGGAGTTGTTGGCCCAAGCAGGGGAGTGTCTGCCTAGGAGCAGATGAGGGAGAGATCACTCAGGGCCCCCCCAACCCTAGAGGCTGCCCATGGCACCTGCATCCTCCTGGGTGCCCAGTCAGTCCCCAAGCAGTGTCAGCTCTGCCCTAAGTGCCTCTGGCGAATACTCCTCCCTTCTCTAGTTGTCGACACCTGCCCAGGCTCCAGCTTCCTACACTCCAACGTTCTCTCTGTCCTGCAAAAGATGCCAGATGATTCTGAGCCCCACTCTGGTCATGTCACTCTGCTCTGTCACCCTCAGTAGGTCCTCACTGCCCTCCTGTCTCCAGGATCAAGTTTCTGACACTGGGCTGCCTTTCAGGACCCTCAGTCTCCCCACAAATCCCTGTCCACCATCCAAACAGCCCTTCTCCATAAGCGCCCTGAGCCCCAGTCTCCCTGTGCTGGCATATGCCGCTTCTTCCCCCTGGGATTCCCATATCCTCCCCATCCTTCCCAGCCTTCCTCAGAGCTCAGCCCCTCGCCCCTGGCCCATGAGGTCCTGGTCATCAGGGGTCGTGCTCGCTCAGCCCCTGCTCTCCAGTCCTGAGCCTAGAGCCTGCCTCAAACCAGAGATGTTTCTCAACTAAATAAGTAAGATCAGGGTCAAGTGGCAACCTTTTCTCATATAAAAATGTCTTTGTCAGCGACAGAGCTAGTCACTAGTCTTCCCCCAACACTCACCAGTGGTTCTAACAAGAAGCCTGCACTCTCCTCCATCCCACCATCTTTACAACTGTCACCTTCATTTTTTTTTCTCCACATGGTGCAAGGCCCAAGGCAGAGTGAGGCTCAGCTGAGCCAGGCTAAGGGGCCCTAGTGGGCTCTGCAGGATAGTTGGGACGCAGGTGGAATCAGGGTCTGAAGACCAGACTTCTACTGACAAGGAAGTTGACCGAGACTCAGCGAGGGGAAGGGGGCTGCCCAGGTCACGCACAAGTGAATGGCAGAGACAGTCCTGAGCCCAGGGCTCTGGACTCGCAGCATGTACTTCCTATGGCCCCTGCTGCCTCCAGTGCAGGACCTGCGGGAAGGCCGGAGGGAGGGAGGACCCCAGGGTTCTCTTTTCAAACCCACCTATGTTCTTTCAGCTTATCACTCTGAGAACAAACCCAGATGCAGCAACTCAGAACAGACGCTTCCAATTCACTCAGAATCAGAAGAAAGAAGATTCTAAAACGTCCACCTCTGTCACCAGCGTGAACCAAGCAAGCACATCCCGCCTCGAGGGCCTGCAGTCCGAAAACCATCGCCTGCGAATGAAGATCACAGAGGTACCTCCCACAGCACTGCCAGCCAGGGCCCCGTCCTCCCTCTGGCGTCCCTGTGCCCCGATGCAGGGAACTGTGAGCTGCTGTTCCATGTCTCCTCTAGGACATCCCTGCATCACAGCTGTGCAGCCCCAGCTGCCGTCGTGCCGGCTGCAGGCACCAAGGAGGACGTGAGCTAGACAGGCTATTAGTCAGATCTGCAGGAGTTTATTGCCCCGCTGGCCCAGGCCCTGGGGTCCAGATGCCCTGATTCAATACATCCCCAGAAAGAACGGCATTCTGAGAAATTTGTGAACTTCCCGATTGTAGCAGTGAGTTGGAAAAGCTCAGTTGTACACCTCCTGTGTGTCTCCTCTACTACTCACACAAACACTTCACTTCTGACACTTCTGGTCACCAAATGTGTGGGGGCTTTTCCCCCACCAAGCAGTTCTCTGCAACACCTGCGGGGTGACCTATGATTTAGCCCAGTTCTAACACTATCGGGAGACAGTGTCCGATCCCACGGGTTAAAGGCTCAGTCCCACAGCACTGCTCCCACCCCACTTCAGACGCCAATCACAAGTAGTAGGTCCCCAGGTTACCCTCAACTTCTGTCCTAAAAATTTAGCTACCAGTTTGGGGGTCCTACCATCCCCTCTTCAGGTTCAGATAACTTCCTAGAGCAGCTCACAGAACTCAGGGAAACACTTATGTTGACCAGTTTATTAAGGGGTATGATACAGGGTTCAGAAGAACAGCCGGATGAAGGAATACATAGGGCAAGGTCTGGGAGGGACCCCAAGCACAGGTGCTCCTCCCGCATGGAGTGAGGGCGCGTCATCTCCCGGTGTGGATGTGTTTGCCAGCCTGGAAGCTCTCCGAGTCCTGAACTGCTGGGGTAATTATGGAGGCTTCCTCACCCTGTCGGGAGAATAGGGTGGGGCTAACAATTCCAAGCTTCTAATCATGGTTTGGTCTTGCCAATGACCAGCCCTCATCCAGGGGCCCACCCAGAGTTGCCTCATTAGAACAAAAACACACTTCTCACACGGGAAATTATAAGGATTTCAGGAGTCCTGTATCAGGAACCCAGGCAGCGGAGCACAAAATATATCTTCTGTTATTTCACAGATAGCTTCCTAACTGTGTGCACCCCCCTCAACTGTTCACTCTCTACACTCACCTGTAATCACTTACATCTACGTGATGGACCACAAGAGAGAAGGAAGTAGAGAGAAACTTCCCGGAGAGTTTGCTGCAGCAGACCTCACTTTGTCCTGAAGGTCCTTCTCTGGTTCTTGAGTATTTCAGAGGCCATAACCAGATTCCTTTGTGCCCAAGCCGAACTTCAAATGCTGGACTTTGTATACCAGGGAAGAGAAACCAAATTACCTTCTTCTGTCCACCCCTCTCTTTGGATCAGGGTTGTGACTGGGCCCACGGTTCTTGGACCAGGTGTTTAATAGAGGAATTTTGATTCAATGGGACAGGAGAGGAATGAAGGAGATGTCTTAGTTAGGATACTGGCTAAGTTACTATAACAAAGAGGCCCCAAAATAAAGTGGCCCAAAGAAAATTTTCTCTTACCTAATGGTGCTAAAGAGAGAAGTCCAGATTGGCGGGCAGCTCTGCTCCTCCAAGGTCATTGCCGGATGAGACCCCTTCATTCTTGTCTGCCACTCCCCAAGGCCACAGCAGTACCGTTAAACCCAGGGGGAAGGCACGTCCTCTTCTCAGGCTCAGGAAGGAAAGAGAAAGAAGTCATGCAAGGGATATGATACAGGGTTCAGAAGAACAGCCAGATGAAGGAATACATAGGGCAAGGTCTGGGAGGGACCCCAAGCACAGGTGCTTCTCCCGCATGGAGTGGGGGCGCGTCATCTTCCGGTGTGGATGTGTTTGCCAGGCTGGAAGCTCTCCGAGCCCTGAACTGCTGGGGTAATTATGGAGGCTTCCTCAATTATGGAGGCTGACTCATAGGTCACCCACGCCTATTAAGCAAGTGATACAAAATTGTACACATTTTGGGTTTGCTCCAGTTACATTTGACAGGAACTTTCACACTATACTTAGCCAGAGGGAGTCTGGGAAATGTAGTCTGTAGCTAAGAGACCCAAGGAAGAAGTGAAACATAGGATTGTCAGATTAGATACAGGATGCCCAGTTAAATCTTAATTCAGACACATTTAATTAAAAGAGAAATTATAGGGTGTTTTTAAGTCATCATCATGTCATATGGTATGATATGACAAGTAATATACAACAGATTGTAGAATAGAATGAATATTCATGCAATAATCTAAGTAGAAATAGGAGTGTGTTTAATAGTATATACACACATAGATGTACAAAGTGGGAATTTCAGATAATCTTTGATTCTTATACTTTCCTCCACATTGTTTGAATTTGTTATGATGAACATGAATCATTTTTATAATGAGAATAAAATTTATCTTCATTTTGAAAAAGATTTTTAATTCAGACAAACAACCAGTCATATTTTTAGTGTAAGTATGTCCCACACAATATTTGGGATATACTTTTCTTAAAAAATGATCCCTTATTATCTGAAATTCACATGTGAGTATTCTGTATTTCCAGTTGCTCACAGTCTCTGCCACAAGGGACTCTGCATAGCGTTCTGGCATCTAACGCTGCTTTTACTGTGGGGCCGCCCTCCACCAGCCACGGGAGCAGAGTAGGACAGGTTTCTGTCCCTCGACTTCCACACTCCAACAACGAAGAGTTTACTCACTTCAGGAAACCCAAAACCCAAGCCACTGTCAAATGCCCTAAGGTGTTGGGTTGTTTTTCCTGGACTTGAACTACAATCTGGTTTCCTGGTGCTTCCACCTTTGATCCTAGCCTTGCCATTTGAGTCACACAGAAAGAGGTATCTCTCGCCTCCTGCACAAAACTTATTAAATAATTTACGGCTGTGCTCTTGGCATCAGGACAGTACTTTACAGTTGATGTGGTCCCTCCCTTATGTTGTAATAGGGTGCCCCTACCCTCCCAACTACGGTCCACTCCCCAACACACACATTCCCCAGGGACTGGACTGCCCAGGGCTTGCATCTGATTCTCCACAACAGTGTGAGGCTAAGAGCTGGCCAGTCCTGCAGATCTGTTCCCCCACACCAAGGACTCTGCTAGTATCAATAATAATAATTACAGTCATAATCTTATAGTAGCAGATTACTCTTATATGTGTTAAGTACTGGACTAAATTATTGTATTATCTCATTTAATCTTCATAAGAACCCTGTAAGGTAGATACCATTATTACACCCATTCTACAGATGAAAGAACTAAACTCAGTCCTCACCAGCTAGCACACAGCCAGTGAGGAACAGCTCTGGGCCTGCCCCTAGGCTTGGCCAGCTTCAGAGCCTGCACTGGGATGCTCTCCCCTCCCTGGGCTGCTCCTTGAGGCACAAGGCTGCACTGGACACATCATTGCAAAGCCCAGGCCCCTCTCATCACAGCTCCTCCTGGAACAAGAGCTGGCAGGGCCGTCTGCATCTCTTCCCCAAATGCACCAGCCCCTCTGGCTCTCAGTGCCTCCCTAAACCAGCCTGAGGCCCAGCCCTGTGACCCTGTGAGCCGCTTCTTGGCTCTGGAGGCCTGGCTGCCAGGGCCGGGGCAGGGGCTGGGCTGGAGCTCTGACTCACCTGGAGCCTTTGTCTTCTAGCTCGATAAAGACTTGGAAGAGGTCACCATGCAACTGCAGGACACGCCAGAAAAGACCACCTACATTAAACAGAACCATTACCAAGAGCTCAACGACATCCTCAACCTGGGGCACTTCTCCGAGAGCACAGGTAAGAGGAGGTGGAGTCCTGCAACGTGGGGGCCTGGGTATGAAATATCAGCCATCAGCCTCCCGTTTTACAGATGAAACCGAGGTCAGGGAGGGGCGGGCTGGTCGGAAACCACACAGGCAGAGCTGGAGCACCTGGAGCCCATATTTCTGGCCACAGTTCAGTGCCCATCTAGAGCCCCACTCTGCTGACCCTGAGGCTTCAGTTGCTCCTGTACACACATGGCCAGCGTTCCGTGTTCTGATGGGGGCACATTGTTCTTAGCAAATAGATCACATGTACTCCTCCAAACGACATGTCTTAGTTTCCAATGCGCCACATCAATGTACAGGAAAGGAATCGTCAGTAGGAGGTGACATGACCCTCTCTCCCCACAACCACCTGGGAAATGAAAGCTGAAGTAACACAAGCCATTTTGGTTTCAGCAAAATTTTAGATTCCAGTGTAGGTAAGAGTGTGTGGAACTGAGAACTCTCCTGCAACGTTTTGGAAGCCAGTCTGGCACTCTCCAACTGTTAGATGTGAAACCTCTCAACCTAGCAGCTCCACTAGCGGGAGCCCGTCCTTGGAAATACTCCCACGTAGGCAAAGATATAGACACACACTGTTCATCACGTTATTTTTAGGGGAGAAAAACTGGAATTAACATAAATGGTCATTATTTGGGGTAGTTTCGTTAATTATGGTACAATAAAACAAGGCGCATAATACAGCTATTAAAAAGTAAGGTGGGCCCGGGCTGGTGGATCAGTGGTTAGAGCATCAGCCTGGGCACTGAAGGGTTGTGGGTTCGATTTCCAGTCAAGGGCATGTATTGGATTGCAGGTTCGATCCCTGGCCCCAGTCAGAGTACATGCAGGAGGCAACCTATCGATGTATCTCTCTCACATCGATGTCTCTCTCTCTCCCCTGCTTCCCTCCCTTCTACTTTCTCTAAAAAGAAAATCAATGAGGAAAAAAAAATCCTCAGGTGAGGATTAACAAAAAAAAAGTGATCTATTTGTGCAGATATGGCAAGATCTCCAAGTGAAAAGCAAGATGAAGACTAGCATTATGATATATATAAATTGCATGTGAGTGTAAGTGCATTTTTAAAATTATTTGGAAGAACAGACACCAAATAGTTAACAGTACCCACCTGTGTGGAAGGATGGGTGAGAAGGGAATCTTTTACAATTCATTTTATATACTTCTCTATTGTTTGCATTTTGTCGTTAGCATACATTCATTTTTATTATAAAATTAATTTTAAGTCAATGAAAAAATCTTGTTTCTTTTATTATTACATGAGTAATAAGTATTCTTATTATAAAATTAATATATAAAATTATAATTAATTTTACCATATATAATATAGTTAATATATTAGAAAAGCAATATTATAAATTTATTGTATATTGATTGTTTAAAATGTTTAAATGGAGGTAACAAGGAAATTGAAAGAATAAAAATTATTTCTCGTAAAAGGTGGGCATTTCAAATTAGTAGGGGAATGAATTATTTAATAAATATCATTGGGATAAAAATAATGTTTCAGTGGATTGAGCGTCGGCCTGTGGACTGAGGGGTCCCAGGTTCGATTCCGGTCGGGGGCATGTACCTTGGTAGAAGAGAGTATAGAAGAATTTATAATCTCAGAGGAAGGAAAGACTTTTTAACTTCGATGTTTCTAACTCTCTATCTCTCTCCCTTCCTCTAGGTAAAAAATCAATAAAATATATTTTAAAATAAATAAATAAATAAATAAATATCATTGGGATAAAAATAATGTTAGATCCTTACACTTTACACAAAAATCCAAGTAGATAAAAGATTTAAATATAAAAGGTGAAACCATGAATATGCTAAAAGAAAGTATAGAAGAATTTATAATCTCAGAGGAAGGAAAGACTTTTTAACTTTGATGCAAAACACAGAAACCACAAAAGAAAAGGTTGACAAATTCAACTACAAAAGAAAAAAATAATTTTAAGCCTCACCCAAGGATAAGTTTTTATTGATTTGAAAGAGAAAAACATTGATGGGTTGTCTCCTATTCATGCCCTGACCGCACTCTGACTTCGAACTTGCAACCTAGGTATGTGTCCTGACCGGGAATCAAACCCACAACCTTTTGGAGTACGGAGTGAAGTTCCAACTGCCTGAGCCACCCGGCCAGGGCCAATAAGAACATTTTTTCACAGTGCAAAAGCCATCATAAGTAGTAAAATAATTAAACAACAAGTAAGCCAAAATATATTATAACTCAGGTAACAAGCTTATTTCCTTAGATATAAGGAGAAATTATATGTTGCCTACATTGGTTGACCTGATTTCACACCCCCACCCCCATTTTATTATTTTGTTCTTGGAGAAAAGGAGGGCAGGGGGCATACCATACACATCTCCAGCACACCCTTCCATCCCTGGGTGGAGGCTTTTCCGCTCCCAGCCTTGGTCCCAGGAGAGCTGCTGAAGAGACCATGGCTTGGAGAATGCAGAGGGATGCTGGACTCTTTTGCATCCTCTCTCCTGGGGCAGCATCCTAAAAATACTGCATTGTCAATTTTTAAAAATCAAGTTAATATCACGTGTTGTGACGTTGTTTTGCATTCAGATGGAGGAAAGGCCATTTTAAAAAATCACCTCGATCAAAATCCCCAGCTGCAGTGGAACACAACAGAGCCGTCAAGAACATGCAAAGATCCTATAGAAGATATAAACTCCCCGGAACAGTAAGTACCTTCTCCTTGAGAATTGCTGCCAGAGTACCTGCAGAACAGTTTACAGTTTACCATGCACCATGTCTTCATGCCCATTATTTTATGTGAACTCCACAGCAATCCCATGGTGCAGGTCAGATGACAGTGCTCATTGTACAGATGAGAAAACTAACATTGAAAAAAGAAGGTGACTCGTCAAAGCTCATCCGGTTGCTATGTGCAGGAGATGGGATTTGAACTTGGGTCTGTCTAATATCAAATCCAGGTTCTCCACTGTAGCACATCGGCTTTATTGTGTATAAAACTTAATCTTGCTAAATGCATGTTTTTAACAATGATTTATTGAGACCTACTATGTGTCAAACACAGCAGTAAAGAAAACAGACAAAAATCCCTCCCTTCGTGGGGCTACCAATCTATTTGTAAGACAATAACTTAATTTAAAAAGCGAAACCTAGTATGTTAAATGGTGGAGAAAAATAAAGCAGGGAAGGGGGTTAGAAGTATAGTTTTAAATAGGGTGGTCAGAGAAAACTCAATGAGAAGGAAACTTCTAAGCAAAGACCTGGACATCTCAGTTCGCTTTGTTCCCAGTGGTAGTTTTTAGTTCTTCCCAGCTCACAACAGATTGGAAGCAGAGATTAGAAAGGTCAACCCTGCAAGTTGGCTCCTGGGAAGTGACAAGCAGTGAGAACCAGCAAAAACAGCTGAATCACCAACTGCCTTGCCATTTGGGACCATTCAGTGTTAGAGCTAATAGCCTCTCCACCCAATTAGCTCCAAGGCTCACTGGCTTACAGTCAGAACTATTAGTGATGGTTACATGGCATGCGTCAGCGATTTACCTGTCAGTTCCCTACATTAGAATGTCAGCACCATGACAGTAAGATATGGGTCCTTCATATGTCCCTTGGACTAAACACAGGTTCAAGAGCTGAGTAAGTTCTTGGCAAGTGTCTGATGAATGAATGAAAATGTAAACAGGATGCCACCAGACAGCAGAATTCTGTGGCTCTGACAACCAGACAGATGCCCACCTTGCCCAGTTAGATGGCACCCTTCCCCAGGTCAGAGTTGATTCTTCAGCTCCCTTGTTCTGGACTCTTTTCCAATACCATCTTGCCTTAAGGAATTGGTCATAGTTGATGTTACAAAGGTTCAAAATGAGATCTCTAACACCCTTATCTCGTGAGCACCTGCAAAGTATCTCTTGAGAGAAGCCCTTTTGGCCAACAGGTCCTTAAACGGAGTGGGGGCAGCCAGCCCTGCATCTGTCCCCATCCATCTCAGACCCCGACCAATGCCCTACCTACAGTCCAAGCACAGCCTGTTGCGTTGAGGCAGCCACTGTGATTGGCCTCCTCCACAAAACTCTGTGGTTTAACAGAAGCAGAAGTCCCACCTTGTTTGTTTCTGTGAGCAAGTTACATAAACTCATCTTTAAAACGGGAATACTGCTTTTGCCTTCTGGGTTTTTGTGGAGATCTGGAGTTTCGTCCCACCTGCATGGCCAGGCGCTGGGGACACAGCAGGCCTAAGAATACAGGGAAGGCAGCTTCCCAGCTGCCATGGAGAAGTGCACAAAGCGCAGCTGAGCGCAGCAGGGGTGGTGGCCTGCGCACATCCCCCCAAAGCAGCTTTCCCAACAACTAAGGTGACTTCCTGACCTGCCCATCATGGTGAAGAATGATGAGAAGGTGAGCGTGGAGGTGTGGCAGTAGGAGGGAGTTGGAAGGCAGTTCCATTTCCAGTCTGCTCCTCCATCGGTCAAGCAAACCCTCCCCCAGCTCCGGCTCCGGTATTTCTGGCTGCATTTCAGAAGTTTCTGAGCGCTCTGGGGGCTCAGAGGAGGAGTGGGCTCATTCTCTGGGGGAATTTGCACAAAGGTGACATTTGAACTGGATCTTAAAGGAACAGAGCTCATCAGATGGGAAGTAGAACAAGGTTCTCCAGGCGGGAGAACAGCCTATGCAGAGGCGTGGAGAGTGGCCATGAGCAGTGTTTTAGGGGAAATTAGCTGCTGGAGGGTAGAGCTTACAGAGAGAGGGGGTAGAAGATCCAGCTGGAGAACCTGGCAAGAGGCAGATCTTAGAGAGCCCTGAGTGTCCCATCTCAGTGTTGAAGAAATAATGCTAGTCACCGAAGACCAGGAAGGAACCTTCTGGAATTGGCCCAGCAAGAAGGGCTGAGTTCCTGGACGAGGCAGGGAGGCAGAGCCAGTGGGGAAGGATGGGTCAGCTGAGAAGCCTTTCAGGGATGAAACCCAAAGCCACGTCCATGTGGAGGCCTGCAAGTGTAGACAATGAGGGCTGTCTGTGTTTGCAGAAAGCCCTGTTGAAAGGGCAAAGCCTTATTCTTAGGAATCACTGGAAGCTCAAGGAGCACCCTCCTAGCTTACTGTCTCCCTGGTTATTGCCAGGACGGTACAGGTAGGCCTGCATTAAATACCTGCTAGACGGGTGAATGGTTAGATGATCTTGAATTCAGAGAATTCAGAGAAAACTGTGCTACTACCATCAGCCTCTTAGTCGAAGCAAGTCCAGGGACTTTCTGGTGAGCAGCCAGATAGCCTCCCTTAACACTCCTCCCTCTCTCTGTCTCCCTGCCACAGCATCCAGCGCCGGCTGTCCCTCCAGCTCCCCATCCTCCACCACGCCTACCTCCCGTCCATTGGAGGTGTGGACGCCAGCTGTGTCAGCCCCTGCGTCAGCCCCACCGCCAGCCCCCGCCACAGACATGTGCCACCCTCCTTCCGAGTTATGGTCTCGGGCCTGTGAGGGTGGTAGGCCTGGGGCTGGGCCTCCCCCATGACAGAACCACACAGAGCAGAGGCGTCTGCTACAGGAACACTGTCGGATCTGGCTGCGGAGAAGCTGGGCGCCGTGCTGACCTTGAGGGACTCTTGGATGGCACTCAGGTGGACAGGATGGGGCGCACTTGGCACCTGACCTCGCGCCTTATTTGTGAAGTTTTTATTCTCTCACAAAGAAGAGGAATGGAAATGACTTCTTCCTTAATGTCTGCAAACAGGAGGAACTGAAATATTTGAAACTTTGAGAGAAAAAAACCTAGACAAGGAAAGAGTCACTAGAACTCCAGCTAGAAGTCCTTGCACAGCCTTGGGAAGAGGATGGGCTGCTGGAGAAACGGCCTTCGCCTCTGCACACCCATTGCTGGCTGCAGACCCCAGGCCAGCCCTTCTCCCCTCTGGGGACAGAGGTGGGAAGGGCAGTCAGGCCCGCAGCTGCCAGTCCAGCCAACCAGCCTTCCTGGAGCAGGGAGCCCGCAGGAAGGGCAGCCAGGCACAGCTCTGCAGCAGGTGGCCCAGGGCCGGGGTGCGGGAGCAGGCTGGCTCACATGCCTCCTGGTGGGACCTTACTCTCTGATAAATGCCACACATTAACACAATAACACCCGTTCTGAACCGTGGGGATTTAGGGCACGTCACTGCAGACACGCTCTGCAGCATTCACCGACAGTCGGTCATGCACCCACCTCATTGGCCATGTCCTTGTGTTTGTATCAGGTGTTCCTGGTAATAAGGGGGGCCACCTGAGCTAATCATGGGATGTCTGCTCCCAGCATACACAAAAAAGAAAGATTGTGCACTTTAACCTCTCTCATCAGGGCCCAAGGGCTTGCTGGGTTGTTGCTGTTATTGTTTTTTCCCACTGACTTTGTTTCTGACCAAAGTGAATCATGGGCATTCTTCTAGAAGACATCCCTGTACTCATAGGGGAAGGAGTTGCTAGCTGAGGGCTTCTCTCAGCTTCAGAAGGCATCCTTCAGTCCAGGCAAGCTGGTGAGCTGTGCCCATGGGAGTCACAGGGGTGATCAGTCAGCACACTGTCACTCTTTCCTTGTAGTTGAACCCCAAAGAGCACCTCCTGAGAGTAAGACACACCTGGGTTCAAGTCTTTACTCCACTGCTGACTCCCTCCATGATCTTGGGCAGGTCACTAGCGTCTCTCTGAGCCTCAGTCTCCCCTCTCTAACAAGTTGGGCTTGAAATAATACCCATCCCTGCCTATCTCACCTGATCTCATGCAGGAAAGCTTCCTACCAAACAATGAAGCGACCTGATCCATGAGGTATCAGGATGACCGTGACCTTTAGCCCTCACAACAGCCAGGGGAGTGGCCCACAGAAGCTCCCAACACAGCCCTCTACCAGGATCAGCTGGCTGAAGAGAGGCTCCCTATGACCTTTGTGACCTTCCTAGACAGGTTCATTCTTTGCTGAAGAAGGGCCTGAATGACAACGTCCAGGACATCTGCACAACTGAGCAGTCGCTCACTCCCTAAAGAAACCTAATGGCAGCTTCCACAGGCAGGCAATAATCCCTTCCCAGACCACTGATGTCAGGAATATGCTGCTGTCACCACCAGGCTTCGACAAAAGGGCCCACGGGGATCTTACCATCGCCAACATTTCAGAACACCCTATTTCACGTAGTATAGCTTTCCTCTCCCCTCCCCCAAAGAGAGGTTATGGAGGTACTGTAGCTTTTAGGGGAAAAAAATGTTCACACATCACAGGTCAAGTTGAAGTCATTGTCTGTTTAGGCACTAAAAACCGGTGTTGTCACTCACTGTGTATTACAGTATTTACTTGCTTTCTTGATTTCACCAAAATCAGATTTAATTTAAAGGGTCACATTAATTTTTCAAAGAGAAAGAGACAATTCATTGTACATAATGTATACACAAAAAAAAATACCTGTAGAAATATTATTCCAGCATAGCAGGGGAAAAAGAAACAAAAGTATTGGACAGTCGGAGGTGAGTGTGTGCGTCTGTACCCCATTGTGACTCCTGAACGTGCACAGTCTTCTAGGTTAACCCACAAAGTACATTCTCTGTCTTACTGATACTGTAGGTTCACCCATTTTTTAAAATTTCCCTGCAAATAACAAGACCCACAGAAGTGACTCTAGCTATTTAACGGTCTGTTCTTTTATACGCAGCAAACACACCGCACATTTCTGAAAAGGCTTCATTCAGCCTGAGGTGTTTTCCAATGATGTTAGTGCACAAACGCTTTAAATTAGACTGGAACTGCCAGAATCAAATGTACATGAGGAATTTCTCGTCCCCCTATTGCATGGTATCAATTTTTAATAAATTGTTGCAAATTTGTTTTTATGAATAAAAGGGAAAAAACTGTCGTCTGTAATGCCTACTCTCAAGCCCAAAATGCAGGTCATTTCAGGCCATCTTCCTCTGCTCAGAAACTCAAGGGACAGTTCTGGGGTTGCCTGCTCAGCATTGTTCCTTCCGAAGCTGCCCGCCCTGCCTTCTGCTGACAGCGCAGCCCTGTTACCATTTGGCACAGCTTCTGGCCACAGGTGATGGATCTAAAGTGGGAACCTGACCTGAGCTGGGCCAGTAAGTCCCTTCCCCAGGTCTCCATGTAAAGCAATGTAGTCAACCACAGAACAGAAAAATGAAGCCAGTCAAGGACAGCTCTTCCTGAAGGCCAGCAGCACCCTGAGCCTTCCCTGCTGGGGGGTGCAGGCCTTCCTTGGAATCTCCACTCCTCCAATAAATCACCCTTTTTGTCAGGGTTGGTTCAAGTTCAAATCTCATCACTTGGAACCAAAAGGTTCCTGACTAATCCAGAAACCTTACTGTTCCCCCACCCCCAGCCCTGACTCCCCCTCCAGACCATGACAGCTGGTGAGATTTGGCCCCTGCTCCTTTCCAGCCTCATTACCCGCCTCCTCTAACGGACAATAGCATGCTTCTTAGGTAGGAAACTGTTAGGGAAAATATCTTGACTCGCCATGGGGGCAGGGGAGAGAGATTCTGGAAACAAGGCTAAAGAGAGACAGGGCAACAGTTCGTTAGAAAGGACTAGAAATTTGGGAGGGGAAGGAGAGAGAAAGGTGAGAGAGGACGGAAGCCAAGTTCAAGTAACATGGCAAAGTGGCCAAAAGACCTTTAAGAACAGAGATGTCAAACATTTGATTTTAAGTCATTTGTGTTGCTATGAAGTAAACCCTCTCCTTCACTTCACCCCCTCCTGCAGAATGTCCCTAAAAACCTTCAGTAACCTTTACTATACAAGCAAAAGTCTTGTGGATTTGGGTGGAAATGAAAGAGACAAATACTTCTTGGATTTAGGTGGAGGCCAAAGTGGGGATAGAAGAGGTAAACCACACGGTGCAGAGGGAAAATACGCTCCCTGCACAAGCAGGAAAGTGGAGCCGCAGGTGATCATCAGCTCCCGGAAAATCACAGGAGCGTCGGAAAGGCACAGGAATGGGAAGTGTGGGTTATCCCCTCTAGATCTCGCTGGCCATCATCATCCTTGCTGACATCTAGGTTATCTAAGTAACAGGAAACATTTTCTCCTGTAGAGCCATATATCTCAAAGGTCCTGAAGGCAAAGGTAGAAATCCTAGAAAGCAAGACCAGTAACACCATGCTCACCTACCTCACAAAATAAATTCCATGCTCACAGCTTTGGAATGGAGTGAAACTGGAGAAGCTGCCCGCCTGCAGAGCTATTAGCTTGGCCGTCTTTGCTCTCAAGGTCATGGCTGCTCTCTTGCTCGGGTCCACCAGCCTGTTACTGGAGAGTTCTGGCACATGGGGAGTTAGGGCTCTGAGCCAAGAGGAAACACATTTGCTTTTTCTCCGTCTGAATCCCAGTGGAACAGACCCAGGGCAGTATTTTTCAAACTTGGAAATTATAGAGACACCTTTTAAGACGTGGTGTTGACTTCGATTGTTTTTATAAAGCAAATTACCTAAATATGTTCAAACTAGATATAAACACATGCTTACATCCTTCATGTAAAAGCCAAATAAATTTATAAATTAAATGCAAACAAAATGACAAAACCAATAGAAAACATATTAACAACACTGATTTAATGGGACAAATGAGCTTTTGCTGAAAAATAAATTGCAGCTCACTGTGCGAGCGTAGCACCAACTGCTCCCGGGCACATTCCTTTGAATTCCGCCTGCCTGGTGTGATGACTCAATTATCACACTGCTTTTCCTTATTTAAACTACTGTGACAACTTCATTTATTCAGCAGGACATGATGTCACTTGGCCCTCACTCAGCTCTAACACATCACTTCTCTATTCAATCCACCTTTGCTTTTTTCTCACGAGCCTTTGACAGTCACGGGGCCCCCCAGATAACACACACAAATCAAACGGTGATTGAGTGCTGATGCTCATTAAACGCTAGGCTTAGTGCTTTGCAGGCATAATCTCATTTAGATCTCACAGGGACTCGAGAGCAGGAACAATTACTGCTGCCCTTTTGCAACTAGACACCGGCACCGAAGGTCAGTGCCGTCCTGGGTCACGCAGCTGGAATGATAAAGAAGGAATTTGACGCTAGAGCACACCCTCTTACCACTTCCTTAAACTGCCTCCTCAGAAGTAGCTGGATTCAGATCACCCAGAACATGCCAATTTAATTTATTTTAGATTACCTTAAAATTAAAACACAATTGTTTAATGTATACATTTGCACACCTCTGAGATTCATCAAGTGATGAGATTTGAACTTGAATAGACTGAGGCTATAAACCCAGTCTGGGCACCTCTGGCCCAGGCAACGTGAGAGGGGGAAACCCTTACTGCGCTGAGGCCCAGGCAAGCCAACAACATGGAAGAAGCAAAAACAAAGCTCTCCCAAGTTGCTCATCGCCCATATCCCCCCTGACCACTGCATCTGGAGCATTCAAGCCTCCAAGATCTGACAGAAGGATTCTGCCAGCATCCAAAGGCAAGATAGAAGATGCTCACCCT